CTGCGGGCACTGCCGCGGGGGCTGCTGCGGGGGCTGCTGCGGGCAGCTGGGGCCGAGGCGGACACAGTGCCGCCGCTGCCTCGCGGAGGCCGCGTTAGCCCCCGCGGGAGGCCTGCGGGGAGGCAGCGGGCGATCGGGACGGGGTTAAGGTGGCTGACCTCTGCAGGACCGTGTCCCGCCTAGGAATCGCCCGCTTGCTGTAAGTGTCTAAGGTTAGAAGGCGCAGTGGCTGCACTTTGGCGTTGCGCGCCCCGTGGTTGTCACTTCACGTTCTGTGTTTGCTAGCTCTAAAAACTTGTCTCGCCGTTTCGGCTGTTTTGCTCGTTTGTTTTGGTTGTTTGCTGAACAAAAGTGGAGGTAGGAAAAATCCAGTTGCACCATAGGCCTGATCTCATGGCGCACGAGATGAAACGGAGCGCCTTTCACCCACTCACTTGGTTGGGATTAAGCCGGAGGTTGGCGGTGTTCGCTGAGACCTCGCCGCCACAGGGTCACGGTGGGGTTGTTTGCAGTGGTGCTCAGGCAGGGACCTGCCTGAACGAGCGCAATTCCATACATTCTTCTTTATGGTCAAGGTGTAAACTAGGCTTCCACTGGGTGTGTGAGTAACCCCTGTGCTATCTTAGAGAAGATGACGAGGCTTGCCTTGTACCAGTCAGCATGCTGGAGTGTGTTACTGGGATTTTAACATCGGCACTTAGTTAAAGTGAACATGTTGTTTGAAGCTGCTGGATCACTGCATCCACAATTTTCAGCTGAGGTAAAAGGAGCAGTGTTCCTTTGTTAATCCTAAGGGGCAGTTTGTTTGTTTGGGCTTCTCTGTTATTAACAATTTTAGTTCTTTTTGTCTGTGAGATGAACAATTGACTTTGTAGCCAGTGGTGAGCAACACGGTACCAGATGTGGGCTGGTGAGAGGGAGAGAGAGAGGAGCTACTGAACAAAAGTGTTTAATTGTCAAGTGAATCAGTTGTTAATGCCTCTCTGGTTTTGGGTTGGATGGGTGTGAGGAAGGCTTGTTCCAATATCAGAGCCTTGATCTGAACCTTTTAACTACTTTTTCTTTTTTTCATAATGTCTTTCAAACAGGTTAAGCTTAAAAGAAAGTTACTGCCGTATGCTTTTATGGTGTCCAAGCTCACCTGTTGATGCTTCCTTTGTAACTTCATGGTAAAACAGCTTCTGCAAGTATCAATTTGATTACCAGATCGTCTGGATCCAGAGATCGCTTTTACTAAAATGTGGACTGCCAAAAAGCTTTTTAGTGCTCAAATACTGTTGCTCCAGGTGAAAGAAGGCCGATTGTGTAGTTGCATGTTTCCCAAAACTCAGCAGTTCTGGATTGGAATTCCAAGCTATTGTGCTATTAGAGTGCCACATAACAGAGTTAAATTCCAAGTAAGTATTTTTATGTTTCTCTAAAGATATAAGTAATTTTCATAAATACAGTGATAAAATAATTTATTTTAGACTCTACAGAGCTAAACCTTTGATTTTTCAGCATTAGTCATGAATTGAAGATGCCTTTGGTTTATCAAGGTAAAGGGGCAGGCAGCAATAAGTGCTGGAGTACTGGTGTTTCAGAGTGAATTTTTGAGTCTGATAGTTCTAAGTTGGGGAGAAATGTTAATTTTCTTCAAACTGTTCTTCAGACAGTAGTACAGGATAACTGACAGGCTGATTAGTTAGAGTGACAATCATTAAGTGAAGAATAGGACCAGAATTCTATGAAAAATTACTTACAGATGCAGTGTTGCGCATTACAGGGTAGAGGGGAAATGGATTGGTAAGGGAGGATAAAAACAGGATAAACAGGATAAAAAATTATTTTATTATAAAAAAATCTGTAGATATAAATAAAAATAGTGGTAAATTACACAAAATAAAGCTGGTTTTGGAGACTGGCATATCCAAATGGCAGTGTTTTTCAATAGGTAGTTAAATTCATCTTTAAACTGTAGATTGCTGTGGCATAAGCTGTGGAACACTGAAGTTTGAACTTGTTTTGTGGCAGCTAAGCAATTGTGAAATCCATCTAGATGACTTAACAGTTATTGTCAAACGTCATATTGCTGTTGTTTTTCTTTTTAATACTAATATGTCTGACTCTCTGATTGTAGGTTTCCAAACTAAATGATAAACAATCAGCAGTTGATAGAAGAATGGCTACTAGTGCAGAGGGAACCAAAATAGCTGTTGGAAAAAGTCCCAGTGGAGTATGTGATGAAAGACAACATACATTACAAGGTATCGAACCTTTTGCCACCCTCTCCTGGAGAAGTCAGCCTTCCCTGACCTCTGTTGACATCTTATGGATCAAGGTCTAGAATCTTAATTTGAAAGTTTTGTATCTTGTGATCCGTTTTTTTGTTTTTGTTTTGTTTTTTTTTTTTTTATTTTAAGGGGATTATATGCAAATGTTATAGTTTGAAAAGATTCATGATTTTCTTAGAGTTCTAAATGGCCAGTTAGATTATGTACTTAGAATTTTTTTCCTTCAATTTTGTCAAACTCTTATGTTCACCGAAGGCTGTGAATTGTTATGCTAGCGCACTTTTTTCCCCCATCAGGAATGTGGAAAAACAAACATTTCTGTGTCAGTGGTGATTTTTGATCCAGGTAAATTAGTAGTTACCTTTATGACCTTTATTTTAGCAGTGCTGCCGAGCTAAACAGTTTTTTCTGTGACTTTGCTTGTTTTGTCACTCTTTGCTAATAACTTATACTCAGTTGTGCTGTTATGCATCATACATTTTAGCTCCTGTGCCTCAGGGTACTTGGTCATTTGCATTCTATGTATATTTAGATTTTGTTTGTATAGGTGTTGGTACTCAGTTGCTTTGGGCATTTTCAGCTTTTGTTTACAAGTGGAATGACAGGGAGGTAGTTATGACAGGTTAAGACCTTGGATGGTACAATGTTTATGTAATTACATTGCTCAGGAAACAGTCCTATGAGAAACTGTTGTGCTATTTCATATGCATGACAATCAGGAAGACAGTACCTGTCCTCAGAAAGCTGTATGGTACTGTATTATAATTTTTCTGTACAGCCTTGTTCCCTTACATACATTCTCTTGAAGGTTTGCATTACAAAATGGATAAGATACTGCTGAGTAAACAGAAATGTCCCCAACCCCCAGAAGATTTTTAATCGCCATTATTTTTTTATTTTTTTTTTCCTGCAGATGTGATAATCTTAAAATTGTTAGGTCTATGTTTATTCTTGAATGCTCCTGCATTATTTGCAAAATAATGAAACTGAACAGCCCCAGTAGTCCTCTTGTACATATCTTTTCTTACGCTTCTGTTTTTTCTCTTGTAGACAACAGAAGCATTTCTATCTCTTTGGCCAGTTGAAATCTTTATATTTTGAATTTTGCCAATCATGTAAGATAACAAAATATTTTCAAAAGCAGGGTCAGAAGTGTTTGCTCTGTCTTGTTTATATCACATCTCTACTTATGTACACTGTCCAGCTGAGACGTACTTGTGCACCTTCACAGTTTCTTGAAGCATTTTTTTAAGACATGCCATTTTGACAGCTTTGTGTTTTTAGGTGTTAATACCCTTAATAGTCACAACTTATGTTAAACTCTTTATTTGTTTTGATGTCTCGTGTAACAGGTGTTTCATATTGTTTCTAAGATAGCAAGATTTCTGCTCTCTGCTCTGGCAACTGAAGGAAGTGGTTTTTGTCCACATATGCCTATGCCCTATTTCTGTTACTCTGTAAGAAATTGTCAGGGAATAGTCATGTATACTTAATTAAATTCCTCTCTAATTTTTCTGTGGAGTTTTTATAATCATACTGTACTTTCTTGATCAAAAAGGCAGTGATCTACAGATCATCAAAGCAAAAGACATTTTTGAATCATACTTTGAAATACACGATTGTAAAACTGATTGATGCCATGATATTTGCAAAAATTCTTTTAAAAGTGTCCTTTTTCCTATTACTTGCCTTTCTGATTTTCCAAGACATTCATCTAACAAATGCTTTTGTATCTTTTATTCTTATTCGGAGATTTATTTTTTTTTGCAAGGTGAAAGAACATTGCTTAACTGTATCTATGAAACAGTAGTTCCTTATAGAACCACGATTCTCGTCTGTTTCATCTTTGTCATCTGCATCCTTAGTAAGTTGTGCTTTTTTACAGATTTGTTGAAGAGGCCTCAGTTCCATCCACTTACCTGCAGGTGGATGCATAGTACTGATTGAAAATATTAATGTTCTGTTTCTCATCTGTGATGCTGAGTATTTGCAATACTCTACTGATTTTAATATTCTGAACAAATGAAAGAAGATCTGATTGTTTCATCTAGCAACAAACAAATGCTAGGTATCACTTGGGAACTAAACATTACAAGATTTTCAAGTTAACAACTGGGTAAAGCCCTGAATGACCAAGTTTGATCTGATAGCTGACCCTGTTTTAAGCATAAGAAGGTTGAGCAAGAAGTCACTTGAATGATTCTATGATTCAGTGATTTTTCCTTCTCATTATTTACCCACTTAGAGGGTTGATAGATGTATGTGCATACCCCATTTCTCAGTCATGCAGCTGAATGTAACCAGTGGATCTGTCATTTGAGCATGAATGTCATCTGCCAATTAAAATTTCTACTGAGGAATTTTAAATTTTTTTGTGTATATGACAAATGCTTAATGTATACCTGGGAATTGATCCTAATTAATAGAAATACAGTGTCTGGGTAACACAGCTATGCTATTGCTACCCTTAATTTGAGGTTCTCTTGGGAAATCTGTAAGACAGTGTTGTGTTGCATGCCATACAAATCCAGTTGGTCAAGTACTTCTGTTCACTAAAAGTAAAAAGTTACTTTATTTTTACATTGTGTTAATTTAATCTTTTAGGATTTGAAATTAGTCTACTCTTCACAGAGTGTGAGACTAGCAGCATTCTTGAACAGTATTCCTTTACCTGAAATCTTAGCACTTTTTTTCTTCCTGTGTGTTCTTCTCTCACTGAATTCTTTTGTCAGTCAAGTATCTGATGTGAATACTCATTCAATAATCTCTCTGTCTTTTGGTTGGAAAATGAAGGAGGCAGAAAAGTGTGGGATCTAAGCGTTAACAAATTATCTCATGTGAAAGAGTGAATTCCACATATGCAGACACTCTGAAGAGAATAGTGGTTACTCCCAGTAGCTGATAATTAGATAGGACTAAAGTTTGTCTAAGAAACTACAATTTCCTTATGAATGTGTGTAAGAGGAGGTATGGATATCTGACTTCAGTCAGATATGTTCAGTAGTTTTTGCTCTGAGATTCAAATAGTTTCCTCAGTTCACATAGCCTCCTTTTCTGTTCTTGCTTTAGAGAAAATGTACCAGCCACTTCTTTATATAATGAAGTGTGATTTTTCTTCCACATTTGTGGGGAATTTTTCTTTTTAAAAAAAACTTTTAATCTAAAGTTTTTTTACTGTAGCTTTAGACACTCTTTGTGGTTCTCATATATTCTTTTTTTTATTTGTGAACATTTAACTATTTTCCATCAGAGAGAGATACTTTTTGGAGTATGAGCCTTGTAGAGGGTTTAAATGTGTGTATACATGTACTGTAAGCTGTATATATACATGTATATAAGCAATATACTTATTTTGGTTTACATAACCACGTTACAGTTGCATTTCTTAGTTACATTTCTCAGATCCCTTAGATGTAATTATTTGGATTTTTGAACATGCACTTTGTATACTTTTTGACCAATCAGCTATGTAAAAATAATTTTTATTTTATATAGTGCTTATAATAGTAGTGTCTTGATCTCGAGATCTGTTTTGCACAGAAATGGGAGTTGATTCTTCCATTCCTATGTAAGAATGCAGTTGCTTTCTTGAATGCAGCTTCACCTTTTTGTCAAAGTGGTCTGTGATGCAAATGCATCTTTGCTCCTAATTTGTAGAAGGTATGGAGACAGCTGCAGCAGCTGGTTAAACTCCCAAGAGTTTAACTATCCTGAAAGGAAGTACATTGTGACATTATGCTTCAAAGACTGTTGATTTTTTTTTTAATAGAGTGGAAGAAAACTAAAAGTAGAGTTGTGTTTGTTGTTTACCGGTAACATCTTGAGTAAAGTTTTTTTACCTTCTGTTCAGTACATTGACTTTTCTTTAAATTAAAAGATTGGTTTTTTCAAAAGTAGTAAATCAATTTATCAGTTGCTTCATTCTAGAGAAAGTTGCCTTTCTCTCATATTGCCACAGCAAGAGCCAACCTCTAGTACTTTCTGTGAGTACAAATGTGTTAGATTCATTACAGGTGTTTTTACTTACAAGTGGATATGGAAGCCTTTCCAGCAGAATTGATAAACCATGTGTTTTAGCAGACTGACTTGTGTTCCCTGGCACTATGAGATGCTCTCTCTGAGTAAAATAGCAAACCTGGTCAGGTTATTAGGTCTGATTTTAATCATGATGTGGGTAAAGCAGTTTGGTTTAGCATGTCTTATCTAATGGTTTTGAAACTCTTTTCTTGTCCTCCTCGTTCCTGCCCTTTCCATATCAGAATGAAGACAAACATTTTAACAAAAATGTGGTGCTGTATATGTTTGCCTCAGTCAGGACTGATAGAATAATTTCTGTCTTTCGTTCCCATTCATATTGAGATCTACCCAAGTACAGTAGGAGGTTATTTGTAATTCAATAATAAGATAATGTGTTCAATATCTCTTATATTTGTAAAATACAACCTGCAGAATACTTTGCCTTTATGATGGAGTTACTTACAGAAACAGAAGAGCTAATAAATTCTACAGCATTCTATTTTGTTTATTTAATTAACTATCCATAATAATCTGAACTTGTGCTTCCCATTTGTTGGGGTTTTTTTGTTAATTTTAAATTTCTACCCTAGTCACCTTTGGAGTATATGTGTGTTTTCCTGCATTTAGTGCTTTGTATTTTACTTTGGGATATTTTTTATTCCTTTTTATTTTAATAGTAGCAATAATATGTTTTGTGTTTATCCTTTTTAAGCTAGTAATTACTTTAAAAATTTGTCTATTAATAATACTAGTAAGGAAATGAGTTTCAAAGATGACAGAAAAAAATCCCTCTCTTAGAGAATTATAATGGATTCAAGGTTCTGCTTGTGTAAGGAGGAGTGTGATCATAGAGTCACAGAGTGCCCTGGCCTGTGAGGCACCTTAAAGATCATCTCTTTCCAACTCCCCTGCTGTGGGCAGGGACACCTCCCACTAGGCCAGGTTGCTCAGAGCTCCATGCAGCCTGGCCATGAGCACTGACAGAGATGGGGTATCCACAGCATCTCTGGGCAACCTGTTCCAGTGCCTCACCACCCTCACAGTAAAGAATTTTTTCCTAATATCCAATCTTAACTTTCCCTCAGTTTGAATCCATTTTCCCAGTCCTGTCACCACATGATGAGACAGTAATGAGCAGTTTTTTAATTAATTTGATTTTTTGATAAAGATGTTAAACAAGGTTTGTTCTTGAAAGGTAATCTTTAATCACTTTTGTGTAGATACTCTTCGACAAATCAGATGAAAATATGTAGTCACGTTGTATATAAAGGTACATATTTTAGATTTATTTAAAAAAGGATTTGTACCAAGGATTATTTTAGAGTTGCTTTCAGTTTTGGAGGTACTAAACTAACTGTGAATTGTTTGATGTATTTGGTAATCAAAAGCTTTTACTGTTTTCAAATATCTTGCGGATTTTTGTGTAGTTAGAATATGTTATGCAAAAAAAAACAAATGTATATTGCAAGACAAATTTTTTCTCACTGTGACATGCTATTTCCACAGCCCAAATGAAACACATCAACCTGTCCTTTGCAGCTTGTGGCTTTCTGGGCATTTACCACTTGGGGGCAGCAGCTGCTTTTCACAGGCATGGTAAGAAGTTACTGAGAGATGTGAAAGCTTTTGCGGGAGCTTCTGCGGGATCTCTGACTGCCGCTGTCTTGTTAGCAGTGCCAGAAAATATAGAGGTAAATCAATAAACTCGTAGGTATAGGCCATGATAATTTTCAAAGGAATTTTTTTTATATAATCATCTTCCATTAAGTTTATTAAAATATTTTGTGTCTTGTTTTTTTTTCTTCTTGTTTCTTGCTAGGAACAGGACTCTTGTATCATGTTTTCATTAACCACATCTGTGACTCATGAGAAAAAATGTTAATAATAAAAATATTTCATATGAACCTTACGTTTTAAACTGTTTATACAAATACAGATCTCATTTGTGTGAATCTTGATTTGTAGGCAGCAGGTATACTTTAATATACCAAAATGTATATTTACTTAATGATGGTACATTACAAAGTGAATCATTGTTCTGTTGGCTAGAGATAATCTTAGCATAGCACCACCCGTTTAACCTTTTCTGAAAGGAGATGGAAATGGTAGATGGAGTGTGTCTTCGTAAACAGCTCCCACCTGCTCAGATCTTTTTCTTGCTGCCTGTGCTCCATTGCACAGCATTAAAGGCCTTTGCATCTCCTTTAGTCTCAGTGTAGCCCATGCCTTAAGAGCACCCAGTAGAATTAATCCTCACAGCATTCTGTTCTGACACGTGTCTAGGTGGTTTCATCTCCAGAGATGCCACTCCTTTCTCACCCTGGATGTGGTGTAATGCAGAGACATCAGGTTATATTCAGTGATTACAATGTTACAGATTCTGTGGAGAGCATTAGGAGGTTTTTTTTGTGTCTGTTTTCTTGGTTTTCCCCAGGTTAAGGCTGCTTTGCCCTCCTGAGCTGTCTGTAGTGAATTCGCCTTAATAAACGTAGAGGACCATTCAATATTTTTAATTATTGTGGGAAAAACAGATTGTTAGATTTTTGGTCTAAATTACACTTATGTTTCATTCCAAGTGAGCATTTGATAACTTTGTCTAGACCTCACTTATTTCACTTCATTTGATTCAAATAATAGTCCCAGCCAAACCCCACTTTGCCACTTATCTTTCTGTTTGTTGGTTGTTTGTTTCTCCTGGGATATGAACTCAGCTTGCAGCATTAACTGTATTTCTGTTGCTTTCAGCAGTAGGTTTTTCCTTGGCTTCTTTCCCCCACCCCACTCCCCTGAAAGCATTCTTTATATTACTTGATATTAGGCAAGTGCCACTCTGTTGTGCAGAGAACCTCATTGTATTTTGTACAGGCATTACTCCCCTTTTGTCACCTCTGACTGGTAGTTCAGTTTCAAGTTTGCCTGGTATAATATGTACCTCTGACTTTAATTTCCTCTGTGGTGAGCATGGCAGCCCTTTGTTAGCCTAAGGAAATTTTTCTGCTTATTGCAGACCCTGGGTATGAGCCCTTGTTCTCAGCCTGGTCCAACTTGCAAAGATCTTTCTAAGTAAAAATATTAGAACAGTTTTTATTTTTTGTTTTTGGAAACTAAGTTTATATAACATTGAGTCTGTTGTATTTTTCCTTAAAAATTTGTCATAATATTGCAGACTAAAGAAAGATTCATGAACTTTCTAGTCCTTTCATTTTTTGTGTACTTTTTAGTTATTCTGTTATATTGTTTAAGTGGAAAATTGAGAGTTCTTTTGTCAGTGGGAATAATTCTAATTCTCATAAAATTTAAGTAAAGGCAGTGTTCTGTACTGAATAGAATTAACTTTTCATATCAGGATAATAATACTATTATCTTTACTATGTTTCTAGCTTGAAACTTTATAACCTGAAATGTAGCTCCTAATCAGTTAATTATTTTTTTCTTCCCCCTCCCTCTGGCAGTCTCTGCCTCCAGAGATGGCAATGTTGGATAAGCCATAATTAGGACTTTCTGCATCTCTTAGTCTCCAAGCTGTAATGCAAGCTTTCCTTATCTTGGAGAGAATGTAACATTGAAGATTTATTGTTTTGACTGTTGCTGTTCTAAGACAGTTTCCAAATGCTTTCATGTCATATATTGGATTTTTGTCACTGTTTGTAAAGGCGTGGGACTTGAGAATCCTAAGTAGGCTTATTTAGTTATGGATAAATACCTATTTATTTTAAAATAACCTTCATCATGTTTGATAGAAAGTCTGCTTAACTCAATACAAGCAGTTACAATTTCTAAACATGGCCTCCATCATTATTTAAAAGGTAGATGTATTGTTTAAAGTTTCTGTCACTCAGATTCTAACACAATTCATAGCTGTAAGAAGTTGTTCCTTTTGAGAGCAGAAGTTGAGAGTTTAGGTCCGGTCCATTCTTATCACGTGTAACATGGAAAGTAGTTTTCTATAATTTCCCTAGTTTGGTACTCTTAGCTCCCCATTACCTTAAGCATCTTACATATATATTATATATATATATTATACAGAGGTAGTAGTTCTGAGGTGCTTCTGTGTAGCGTTTTGTTGATTTCTTCTGCATTTATAGAGAGAAGTGTCTGGATGTGCCTTATATATTTTAATTGGCTTCCAGCTGGCAATGGCAAGTATCTCGTGGGGTAAAGGTGCCAGTCTAACCAAAGTGAGGCTAAGTAGCACAAATAATTGTTTCTTTAAGAAGTATGAACCTCTCAGTGAACTTTCTGATACATTTATTCAAAGGCCATATAAAGAAAGTGGATACAAGAACTACATTTCTGTCTTTTGCTTAGATGAGAGCTTTGTCATACAAGTGATGTGAGGAAGTTTAATTCTTTCAGTTAGCTGGCTCTGGTCTCATGTTAATCCTGACCCCACCTCCTTCCTTGTTTTCCATTCAATAGATTCATATAGTGGGATATATTCATGTCAATAGTGGGATACATTCATGTCTCTTTTTTTTTCTTCCCCTATACTTTCCTTAGTCACTCTACCATTTATTTTGTTACTAGCAACATGCTTCTTCTTTATGCACAGACCTAACAATCCAGGAAACCCAAACTATCTTTTATTCATGTGGTTATATAGGTGAATGTGAGTGAATTTATAAAGTACCAATTTCAGAAGGTTGCATAAGATTGAATTTAGTTTTTTTACAAAGTCCCTAAAATCATTAGAAAAGCCTGCATGAAAGGATAAAAAAAGGATTACAAATATTGAATAGTGAGTCTTAAGCACTCAGGATCATAATTCATTGTTTCAGCATCTTATAGGTGAAAAATAAATTATACCAATTTCTTTACTGCCCCTTTGGAGTTCTTATGACTCACACTAAAAGCTATTTTTCTGCAGTCATTAATGCTAGACATTTCAGCTGGTGTAAAAGGTTCTCTGTGCAGGAATCTGTTGCCTGGTTTTCTGCAGTGTATTTTCTTTTTCTGTCATCCATCATAGTTTTTCCTTTATTAAATACTTCCATAATATTTTATTAATTAAATCTGTGTATTTGCTAGTAGCTTGTTTTTTGCATTAGTGAGAAGAAATTGTTGCAATTTTATATTTTTATTATTGCTTATAAGATCTTAAGATACTTGTGTCTGGTTTAAGTTCTAAAGTAGACCTTAAAATAAAAGGTGGCTTTAGAATTTAAATTATTGTTATTGTAATGCATGATCTAGGAAACTGATTATTTAACAGTGGTAGTATATAGAAAAATAGCCTTTAACTTTCCTTGGTTGTTGAAGTGGCAGCCTCAGGGTTTATAATTTATTTTTTTTTTAAATTAGGGATTTTTTGTTTTTTCTTACGAATCAATCCTTAGAATAGGATCAACATTTTGTTATGCGTGTCTTGTTACAAACCAAGCACATACAGGAAAATCCTTCAGTTTGATCTATTAACTCTTTTATTAAAACTTTAATCTCTAGTATATTTTAGGTACTGTAGTTAAACATGCTTCCCATCACTTAAACATCCTTAATGGTTAATGCTTTTCATTTCCAGAAATGTAAGCACTTTGCCTATGGATTTGCAGAGGAAGTCAGAAGATTGAACTTTGGTGCTGTAACACCTGGTTATGATTTTATGAAAACACTTAGGTACCTATCTTAATGCTTCTGTAAGATCATTTTTGTGTTAAAGAACTCCCCAAATGCAAATGGAGAGGGTGCATATTTCTTCTGTGCTGTGGGGTGCTCACCCCGAATGCATTTGCAAGGTTTTGAAATAATAGTGGTGAGTAATGCTGAGCATTTTCTTTCCTCTAGGGAGGGCATAGAGTCTATTCTTCCTTCTGATGTTCATGAGATAGCTGAGAACCGGCTCTATGTGTCAGTCACTAACTCAAAGAGTGGGGAAAATCACTTGGTTTCAAATTTTGCCTCCAGGGAGGATCTCATTAAGGTAATCATGTTGAACATGACAGGAGTTTCTTCAAGGCTTGAGAGTGTATTATTAATTGTGCAGTAAAATCACCGGTTTATTCAGTAACCACTTCTAGTGGTGCTACAACCATAATATAAACAATGTTTAAAGCAGAATTTAATCCTATAGCTTCACAAATTTTACTGAAATTTATTTGGTGTTTGTGTGTGTTTTCTTCATTGGTTATTCAAGTTCTACCTTGTCAGCAAAGTGTTTCTGAAAGTAACAGCTAACTAATTGCAGTTGCAGTAAATGAGAACAGTAGAGAATGTCAAAATGTTGTAAAAATGTTTGCATCTCTTACTTCCCTGATATCATTATGTTTCATCACAAAAGAAAGTAAAGGAAGTTTAAAAAAATTGGAACAATTCCTATAGGTGCTTGTGGTTAATAGTTATAATGTAATGCTAAGTACTGTATATAAGCTGCATTTTAACTGTAGCTGGAAAATATATCTTTCACTGCCCTTCTCTTCATCTGAATGCCACAGGAATTCTTTCTTTCTCTATCCTTGTGGATTACTTAGAGAAAATAAGAGATTCTTTATAGTTATCACTTTAAAAGAATTGACACTTGTTAACAAAACCACAAAGTGTGCATTGGGAATTTGCCTTTAAAGTATATTTTTTAAAATTTTGACCCTATTGTATTCTACATGGACAGTCCTCAAAATTTACAGGACTTATTAATGCAAATAAAGTGATATGAAAAGTTTATCTCAAGTTATGCACTGTTATTTCTAGCTATAGTATGCAATGGTAGCAAGAGTGGAGATTTTTATTCTTTGTGTGCTTTTGCAGTGAAATCTTCTAACCTGGGGACAATTAGAAGTCTCAGGATGACCTTGGAAATACGTACATTTTTCTAGTATTTCAACAGTTTTTTCATTGGTAGCAGTAGGGTGGGTTGGAATAATAGTATTCAAATTACACATAACTGCTCATTGGAATACATTTATATTGTCTGATCTTTCAGTCCAACTCCTGATACCTGTTTTTGTGCATATGCCTGCAGCTCTGCCTCTGTCTGAATGCTGGTGGCTGCCACAGGAGCAGGGAGGGTAGAGCTTGTTAGATTATTTTATTCCATCATGCCTAGCCATGACCTACATCCAAGGCATGGATAGTAGTACTGCTGGGCAGATTGTTTTATAAACAGCGAAACATCTGTACCCCTTGCCAGAAATCTTTCAACTTCGTGTAGATTTGGTTTCAATGCTTAACAAATAAGCCTTATGGTTCCAAAGTTTTTCATAATGGCTAAACTGAATGTGTGTTGCTACAATGTTAAACTTTTATCTTATTCCAGGTGGACTTGGAAAGGCAGGTGATAATCTCCCACTTTTGAAATAGTCTTCCCATATGTGAAGACAATCATCTTTGTATCAGCATTCCTAGACTTGCAGTCCTTAAACTGGAGGTGGCAGGGAAGAGAGGCACAATTTGTGTGTGAGGGAGCAAGAACACTGGTATATTTAGTCTGGGAAAATAAGGCAGTGCCTAGAAGTCCACAGTGGTCAGTTAGTGGTAGGAAATACTGAGAGTGTTTGTTCTTCAANCTTCCCTGATATCATTATGTTTCATCACAAAAGAAAGTAAAGGAAGTTTAAAAAAATTGGAGCAATTCCTATAGGTGCTTGTGGTTAATAGTTATAATGTAATGCTAAGTACTGTATATAAGCTGCATTTTAACTGTAGCTGGAAAATATATCTTTCACTGCCCTTCTCTTCATCTGAATGCCACATTTTAAATTTGGATCAGAATTGTATGCATAAGATGGTATGAGATGCACGTGAAGCAGATGTTCTTTCTAGTAATTGATTGTATCTTAGTGGAAGACATAATAAGCTATAGCAGAATAAAGGAGGAAATAGAATAAGAAGGAATTCTTTCTTTCTCTATCCTTGTGGATTACTTAGAGAAAATAAGAGATTCTTTATAGTTATCACTTTAAAAGAATTGACACTTGTTAACAAAACCACAAAGTGTGCATTGGGAATTTGCCTTTAAAGTATGTTTTTTAAAATTTTGACCCGATTGTATTCTACATGGACAGTCCTCAAAATTTACAGGACTTATTAATGCAAATAAAATGATATGAAAAGTTTATCTCAAGTTATGCACTGTTATTTCTAGCTATAGTACGCAATGGTAGCAAGAGTGGAGATTTTTATTCTTTGTGTGCTTTTGCAGTGAAATCTTCTAACCTGGGGACAATTAGAAGTCTCAGGATGACCTTGGAAATACGTACATTTTTCTAGTATTTCAACAGTTTTTTCATTGGTAGCAGTAGGGTGGGTTGGAATAATAGTATTCAAATTACACATAACTGCTCATTGGAATACATTTATATTGTCTGATCTTTCAGTCCAACTCCTGATACCTGTTTTTGTGCATATGCCTGCAGCTCTGCCTCTGTCTGAATGCTGGTGGCTGCCACAGGAGCAGGGAGGGTAGAGCTTGTTAGATTATTTTATTCCATCATGCCTAGCCATGACCTACATCCAAGGCATGGATAGTAGTACTGCTGGGCAGATTGTTTTATAAACAGCGAAACATCTGTACCCCTTGCCAGAAATCTTTCAACTTCGTGTAGATTTGGTTTCAATGCTTAACAAATAAGCCTTATGGTTCCAAAGTTTTTCATAATGGCTAAACTGAATGTGTGTTGCTACAATGTTAAACTTTTATCTTATTCCAGGTGGACTTGGAAAGGTAGGTGATAATCTCCCACTTTTGAAATAGTCTTCCCATATGTGAAGACAATCATCTTTGTATCAGCATTCCTAGACTTGCAGTCCTTAAACTGGAGGTGGCAGGGAAGAGAGGCACGATTTGTGTGTGAGGGAGCAAGAACACTGGTATATTTAGTCTGGGAAAATAAGGCAGTGCCTAGAAGTCCACAGTGGTCAGTTAGTGGTAGGAAATACTGAGAGTGTTTGTTCTTCAAACTTGTCCTGCCTCTCCTCACTCGGGACATCTAAGGGACTTTGTAAGAAGAACAACTGCTTTCTTCTTAAAAGAAGAAAAGAAGGTTCTTTTCTCTTGAAAAGAACCCAAACTTTGCAGGAGTCCCCTGGTTTTGACTCCGTTCACTAAATCTTCTTTCTGCATTTCTCTTAGTTTAGAAGGGCCAAAGCCAGTGAGATGGAGTTGAGAGGAGAAAAGGTGCTGGGCTGGGGGAGAAGCTGATGTTGAGAACTTGGGAATTTTTGTCTTAGGCTTTTGTGAGCAAAAGACCTGTTTGGTAGAGAAATAGCTTCAGTTTCACATTAGAAAACCGAGAGCCTTTTTATTTGAGCTCAGACAAAGCTCTACATTACTAGGAAGAGAAATAGGCAGGAAAACAGTTCTCAAAGTGGAAGTTGAAGACTTCATATACATACACAGTCTTAAAACTTGTTGGGGAGCAGATGGGCTTCATACTGAAATGGCTTAAATTTTGTTAAAGTAAATGTAATTCCAGCCAAGAAAGCTCAGGAATTTTCTTTCCTAATCTCTGTGGATTGTGAGTTTTTTCTGTACCTGTTTATGGTGTATGCACCATAACACCATAAACACAAACCAGCAGTTTGTGCCCTGCTTCTGCTCCCCAGATTGGTCGTCCATGCCACCACACAAGCATGTGCATATTCCCCGTATTTAACTGTATGAAAAATTCTGACATACTGCGCCTTGTCCATTGCATTTACCTATTCTCCTGGAAATGCTGTATACTGATTGCTTATATATACACATCCATATATATGTGGATGGATTCACAGGTACAGAGAGACCCACAGTCTCACAGGTATTGCTATGAATGGATAGAAAGGCATATGTGTGTGCAAATCTGTACATGATAGAAGAGGTGTCCTGGACTAAAAAAAAAATAAAAATCAAGAACAGTTGTAGACAGCAATGAAACTTTACAATAGGGGAAATAGTTTTGTTAATACTTTAATGTATTAAATACAAACATTGGTAAAGGTATATATATATGAATTTCCAGGTTGTTCATGGTAATTCTAAAACTTTGAAAATCTGATTTATTAGAAAAGTAAACACAATATTAATATGCTAACAGAATGACTTGGTCAGCTTCATCTTCGATGATATACTGCTTTTTTTCATCATAGGCATATTTCATTTCTTGAAAACCATAGATTAACTTCACATTGTGCAAAACTAAGTTCATACTCTTGAATCACATTAATCATTAAGTTAATTTTTGATATTTTGTTTTGAGAGTTGTGACTGTCAAGTCATAAAAAAAAACCTCTGTTGAATAATGTTAATCACATTTTGACATACCACAAGAAGAAGACATTTTGAGATGATGCTGGATTTATGTACAACTAATACATTGACTGGTAAATACTTACAAAAATATGTATTGGTTCTAAATTACATTGCTGACGTTTTTGGTTTTTTTTCTTCTATTCTTTCTGCTTTCTTCTCTCTAGGTTCTGCTAGCAAGTAGTTTTATACCAGTGTATGCAGGAATTAAGCCTGTGGAATTTAAAGGACAGGTAATTTTTTATTACCTATGAGCACCCTTTTTATATATTCTTCATTTATGGTGTAACTATTTCATCTTAAGGGAAAGCAACTTCAATATATATTTTGTATTTCTTAAAAGAAAACCTTATTGCAGTTGTCTTTACTCATCTAGCTCCTACAACTTTTTTGTCTTTCTTACATAAATATATTAACACATTAAGAATAATTTTAAGGCATGAAGGCTTATAAGGCTATTTCTTCCTTATGAGAAATACGTGATGCTTCAGTTCCCCATTCATACAAATTATGCCTCTAGAATCCTGATAACCCTCACAGCCCCCCCTGCCAAAAAGCCCCACAAAACCATATGTATTTGCTGCTAGGTAGTCATTATATCAGAAAGCTTGTCTGATTTAGAATTGTAGATACAGCAATACATATCAGCTGAAATTTTGGAAGGGTTTAAATCAGTATTATTTGACTGCTTGAGTTAAATGGAGAGTGCTTGCAGCTTCCCTGGAATTTTGTTGATTGAGTCTATATATTGCTTGTGCAATTTTAGAGGGAATATATGGCTGTTTTAGGTTCATTCTGCCATTAGTTAAAGGGAAGAAAATGTCATTATTAAATTTCTTGTGGTATCCTTTCAATTAAGAAATTGAAAAGTTGACTCAGATTTTTGTCCAAAAGTTACTTAAAAACCATTTTACTGGATGAACAGTTCTATTATAATTTGCATAGGTATTGTAGTATTTAATTAAGCCTTTTTAGATTTTTTTTAGCCTTACAGTATTTTACTGCAGCCTTTTTTCTAGGGGACAGTTTTCATTGCTGAGTATTTTTGCATCCAGAACTTGAATCAATGAAAGTTTCATGGCAACTGGTTCTTCTCTTACTTGAAAGCTTCTTGTCATTCCCAAAGCTTCTTGCTGCTCTCTTCTAGTGAGATTCAGAAAAGGCAGTTTCTGGGATGAGGTTGCTTTCATTTATTGCTATTTGTTGGAATAATTAGTTCTGCATGACTGCCATGGCTTTTCTCAGACTCCATAAAGCAGTGCATTTGTGGATTGGGGAGGTTTTTTGGGGGTGTTTGTTGAGAAAACTGTTGCCTGTTCCTGCTTCTGACTTGCATTCTTTAGTCCCAATGTTTAGATCTGGGTGAGAGCTCTCACAAAGCATTTCTTTGGTTTGGAATAGTGAGTAAAAGGATGTGTGGGTGTGTAGCAGGGCCCCCAAGCACGCACTGTAGAGCCAGACGTGGCATGTACTGTCATGGCCCAGACATGTAAGCACCAACCCAGTAAGGTGGATTGGATATGGATTTGGCTCTGCAAGGTCACCTATCATATAGCATCATATTCCAAGTTTCCTGAAAGCTTCATGTAACAGACCAGGTTCTGTCTGTCTGCATTTAGCCTAGTTTAAGGAGGTAAATTCCTTAGGCCATGGATCCATGGCAATGTGGAATAAAGATTACTTCCTCCTAACTGCGTGAGACTTATCTGTACTTCAGAATAGTTGATCTGGATTTTCTCTGGGCTACATGTGTCACCTGCACACATCACCAGGTCTTGGAGGACTGTTTCGAAAATGTATTTCACTGTGTTACTTGTGCTATGTTACCAGCCAGCATTTTGCACAGTAAGTAAGGGAGTATGGTGCACTTTCGGTGAATTAGTCAAACATGTTGCTAGCCTGCCCATATGCCTACAGAGACTGAACCCTGGGGTAAACATTGCACTTCAGTTTTATTTTTAGGAAGAGTATTTTTTGGGAAACACTTGGCTTCACAGGGGATTAGCTAGTTTACCTGTAAATACCTGCATGCCTTCAGGCTAGACTCTTGGGATGAATAAGCTAAATTTCATGTTAGTATAGACAGAACATTAGTCTGCTCGTAGTATGTTTTCTGGTTAATGAACTGGAAAATACTATGACTTAAGAGGAAGTCTAAGATGATGTATGAGAATTTATAGTCTGTTAATGTCCTTAACCTGAGGGTTGGGGATTTCAAGTGGAACTGGAACTAAGCTTCCAGTAACACTAATGCAAACTTGCTCCATGTGAAATTATCTTTCTCTGACTTGGCTTGATGTCCTTTGAGTCTCTGACAAGGTTAATTTTCAAGACAGATAAAGATCCACAGATGATGGAGGTGCCTGTGTCTGCTGATGCATCTGTAGTTGGTGGAATTGTAGTTGTCATGGAATAGCTTTGTGAAAACCGTCTGCTGATAAATGGGAAGGTTCTGTTAGGTGAAGCCTTAATGTCATTTTCTGGTTTGGTTTTCATTGCAAGTCATTTCAAAACTTCCTCTGTTTTTGTGTTGTACTAAAGCATTAGCGAAATTCATTCAGAAGCTACCAGGAATTTGTCTCATCAGCAAAGAAGCATTATTGCAGAATTGATTGGTGAGATTAGAAGAAACTGGTGCTTCACTGGTCTTTTTGAAGCAAATAAGTGTTTTTAATATGTTTTACAACTAGGAAACATGAGGGACTTCAGAGCTAAAATATTTTTGAGTGAAAAGTGTTTCTCTCAAATGCTTAAAAGAAAAGAATCTACAGAATCTACAGAAAATAGTACTAAATTAACAGCGTTGTCCATGCCTTAGTAAATGTTTCAATTTTCAGGTAGGTATTCAAGTTACATAGGGGGGAAAGGGTAAAAAACAAATGATCATAATTCTAAAAAATCTGACAACTTTTAAGTTTTAAAAGTATAAAGTTATACTTGTGAAAAACATCAGTAATGTCATTTGTTATGGTGTCTTTGACATGGCTTACAGAGGGATTCCACCATACTTTTCACTGTAGGAAATGCAACAAAAATACACTTAGTACTCCAAGAAACACTGCACATAAATCAATAATAAATTACTATTTATGACAGACCTATATAGACAGACATAAAATTTATAGACAGACACAAAAAAGCCTTGGTGCTAGAAATGTTCTGGTGTGTTGCAGCTTTACTCACAGAAAAGCTGTAATGGGAGCTTGAGAAATCTGAAAGATAGCTGTAAATTATTCCAGAATTTTATTCTTTTTTTGCCTCTTTTTCTAAGGTGAGATGATCTCATTCCTCATTGAGAAATTTGATGTTTCTGCAGAGTGAAGGAATTCAGAGGTATATTGTGGGTACTGACATCAGCTAATGTGAAGGGTCAGGTGCTATAGCATAAAATGGAATAACAGGATGAAAAGGGAAAGAAGCTACTGTATGTTAGTATTTGTAGCTTATATTTTGAGATCAGGAGCATAAAACTGATCTGAGAGTGAACAAAAGAGTGGGGTGAGGGGACTGTAGGCAAACAAATGGATGGATGGATGGATGGATGGATGGATGGATGGATGGATGGATACCACCAGTACCCCCTTGCTATGTATCCATGTATTAAAGAGTAACTTGATGTACCACCAGGTACAGGAGTTAACAGGCGGAGTCAAATGTGGCACTGGGAAAAATCTGTATAAAATTAAAATGAGATTTACTTTAAGTGAGAGTAAAGAACACAGAGAGGGATCTGTATAAGTGATGGACCTCTGAGAATCTCAGGGGCTTCTGAAGAACAAACACTGTAACTAGAGTTAATGCTTTCTGTATAGCAGTAACTACACTGAGACCTAGTTAGTGTCTTGTCAGCAACCAATAATTTACTTTTTGTGAGCAGGCTTTTTTGTCTTTTGGGATTTTTTTTTGTTTTGTTGTTATTGATGTTTGTTTTTTAAACTTTTGTGACTAAGTTCCTGTGGTGTTTTCAGGAATTGTGATGCAAAACACATTATTTTGCCATTTGTGATGGTCACATAGAGCATCACTTACATCAGGAAAGCAGTCTTGCTTGATTGATGCTGAAGAGTACTAGTACAATTTGCTGTTTCTTTCTAGTGGTTTTTGTTAACGTAACTTGAGGAAGATATCCTGGACGTGAATCTTATTTTTCTTACAGCATTTCAGTTTGCCTGGCTTTGCAAGTCTGCAGTAGTCTACATTTTACATAGTTAATGTTTGTTTCCTTTATTATTAGTGAAGAAAAAAGCACTTTTTCAGCACAATTAAAATGAGATATAAACACCTACTTTAGGATAAAGTGAATCATGCTAGCAGAGTTTTCCAATGAGTTGGATCTCATTCTTCACTTTAAACTCCTGCAGCAGACTGAGGTCTGCTCCCTCTTATGTCATAGTTTTTCATCTGCTTCCCAGCTTTACCTTCCACTTTCCTGCCACTGCTGCTTGTGTAGTGTATGTAAGAAGAAATGAGGCTCTGGAATAAAAATCACAGAAGAGGAGAGGAGTCATGTATGGTTTAGCATCTGCAGTCAGAGTACCTGCACGTAACTTTAGAAAAATTCCATATGGGGCATTTTATTTTTGCCCCATAAATTAACTAAATTAACTAAATTAACTAAAATTAATTAACTAAATTAACTAAAAACTCTTATAAGTAGTTTGATAAATACCTTACAGCCAAATTTGCACATTATGTCAAATGCTCATTGATTCAAATTTCTGTGTGCACATTTTCAGTTCTTTGATACTTGAAACATACTGAAGCTTATTTGTTGTATTCTTAGAGGGAAACTTGTAAGTTTTCTTGAGAGTGGAGGAGGCAGGCTCAGCAAGGGTAAAGTATTGGATTTTGTATATTGTACAGTAATCATACTATGTTACTTTGAAAATATTTCTGTTTTCCCATAGAAATGGGTTGATGGTGGCCTTACCAATGGCCTTCCTATCTTGCCTTTTGGAAGAACTGTGACAATTTCCCCTTTCAGTGGTCGATTAGATATCTGTCCACAAGATAAAGGGCGTGTGGACCTGTATGTTAAATTAGCAAAACAAGATATGATGGTAAGTTGCTTGTTTATTAACTTAAAAACAATAAAAAGTACTTTGCAGTTTCATTCATATTTGTCTCTTTTGTGCTTATATGTCAGCTTACATAAAATTTTGTCATTCTCTGTTTTGCAAATGCAAACCTTTTCTTAAACACAAGGAAAGCAGAATAATAAAGAAGAAAGTTT